TATCCTTGCACTCGTTCTTGATGTACATAGGCGGAAATGGTTTTAAACAACTGTCGTAACGGTAAGTGTTGGATGCTGCCACAAAAAGGGACCATTTTAAATCGGCAGCTCTTGGATCTTTCTCCAATAATTGTTTTAGTAACTTTATCTTTCTTTCTATGTCTTCCTCAGTTATACCGCGGTCTATCCGAGATGTATATAATATATCTAAGCCTGTCTTGGCTGCAGTTTTTTCTCCTGGAATCTCAAATTGTCCATTCTGTCTTGCTTTGGTACCTTTAGATATCTCATGATTCTGATTAGGGTATGCCATTGTTTTATTTAACTTTTATATCTACAAAATATTAATATACTTTCATTTATATAGGATTAATATATAAGATTTCATGTTATTGATATGTAGATTGAATAACCCAAAAATGATACAGTTTTTACGCTGCTGTACATATAAGCATACAAAAATTACAGCATAATATAATTAAAAAATTATATTATACACAAAAGTAAAATATTATTAGTAAAGTGTTAATAAGTAAAAGTAAAGTATTAATAGGTCTGTTTTTTAATTCTGTTAAGACTGTGCTATATATAGAACTTTTTCCAGATATCTCAAATATGTATCTTTCATTTTAAATTCCAAAAATAAACTAGTTTGACTAGAAAACAGATCTATTGCACTTATTATAGTTTTGGTATGAAATACAGTTGAAACACATTATCTTCAGAAAATACATGCGATGTACAATGTACATCATTATGACATAATGATGTACAACTTTTGATAAATAATTTTTTAAGTAATTTGTAGTTTTATGTATACATGCAGAACATGAGAAATTTTATTTGGCATTTTTTGCAATTCATTCTGTACACAATTAACTACAACTTAAAAAGTTTTAGTATCAAATACAGTAGAAATACATTATACTATCTTCAGATAATAAGTGCATAATGACATAATGCATAAAACATTATCATTCACTAGCAATTCCAAATTTCCAGGGCACTTACAAAAATGTAAAAAAAAAGAACTCATTTCGAAACAAAGTGTAAACTCGAATTCAAGATAAACATACACGTGTCAGTAAAAGTTATTTATCATATATTAACGTGTTGACGTTATTTTTATCTTTTCTGTTGTCTCAAATTCTCATTAACATATTTGGATATTCATTTTAACAATGGCGAATGGTTAAATTATCGTAAAATTCACGATATGGCAAAAATAATGAGAGTATACATGACACTCAATCGTAGACCGAAACGACTGTATTGGTAACTTAAGAATTTTTTAGGAACATTTAATTTCTTGCGTGCAGGAATATCTAGTGATATTACTAAAAGACGCACATAGATGACGCGATACATCTTTTTTTTTTTAAATTGTATCAAATTATATGTTCACGTTGAATGTATGAGAGAAACTAAGCCTTTTTTTATATAATTTACGTGATAAAATTTATTAACACCGATAATTTAATAATTATCATATATAATTACGAAAGCTATGATGAACTTTTATGATAACGTTTAAATGAAGTCTAAAGCAAGGGTAAAAAGAATGAAGAAAAATTTTATAGTAAATTTTAATAACACAAGTTTTACTAAAAACATTTTGCAAACAATCCGTAACTTTATAAAAATTCAAATTTATAAATTATCATCTAAGTTATAATATTTTGGATTAAGAATATAAATTCTTGGTAATCCCGAATATTTAATTACTACTTATTAAAAATTTATTACTAAAAATTTCTCTCTTTTCTCTTCGATAAATTTAAAGATAGTATGACATTACAAAATGATCTGTCATAAAAGATTATCTGTCTCTGCGATACTCACAATGTCTAGCATTCATCTTCCGAGACTTGATTTGCAATTTTATCACGCGCTCAGAAACGATCAGTATTTAACGAGTCACGCGCTGCACGTGGGGTTTCTCTATGTCTAATGTGGGTTTGCTATTTCGTTTCACAAGAAATTTACCTCACAAGGAGACTGCGAACATGTTCCTAATGTTTTTTTCGCGACCTGTGCCATGTACATTCGCCTTCCATTTGTTTTATCATCTTCGTTTGTTCCCTGTGGCGCATTTCTCTACGCACGAACGATACAATACATACAGCGAAAAAAATACGGCGAAAAGAAAAAAAGAAAAGCTAATTAGACGTATACAAATATTTGTACGTCTACACAGAATAGTTTATATTTCAACATTCATTTAGGATGATGGCACACAAAAAATTCTAATTAATTAAAACGTTAGCAATATGCAAATCAAAGTTTTGGATTACGTTCTCTATTATGATTAGCCGTTCACTATTTACATTTTACTATAATACTTTATTTACTATAATACTTGATTTTTTATTTTTTTATGTCATGACCTATAGCTGCTTATTAAGGCATATATGAAAAACATAATTATATAATTGGGGATTTATTACAGTTCTTGAACAAAAAAACAAAATTACAAAAGTAAGTAAATTCACTAAGTATTGATCGTATTGACCGATGAAGTTATAAATATTCGAGTAAATTCGCTCACTTTTGTAATTTCCACTTCAAGAACTATAATAAGTTCTCGGTATGCGCGTAAATTCATATGTTAAAATATTAATGACCCCGCATGTATACAAAATTGCAAATTATAGATAGCACTCAGTGCTGTCCAAAATTTGTAATTTTGGGACTTGATATCGATGTTCATGCACATTAGAAAATTATTTAGAAATTTAGAAAAATAAGCGTGAACACCAATTATATATATTTTTATCTCCATTAAGAAAAAGGAATGCGGTGTGCGTGGACATCGCTGATATTATAAATTTTAGACAGTACTGGTATTGTTAACTATCAGTTTCGTTCCTTATTTTCTAAAAGGTAATAATTTAAGTAGAAACGCTGACATTTTAAGTCAATGTTCAAGATAATAATCATGTAACTTTTTCCTTAAGACGGAAATGTATAAAAACGTAAAAATTTGTATCAATTTTCATTTTTTACATTTCCGTCTTAGAGAAAAGATTACATGAGATGGTTTGTTCGTGTTGATTGTACAATACTTTTGCACTTAGCATTTTCGGTTTCTCCCGCTTCAATGTACGAATATATATT